CACACGCACAGTGCATCACTCGTCTATGAGTGCTGATTCATGAAATTTTGGTACATGATGCATCACTCGACTTCGAGTGCTTCTTCGTGAGGTGATTTCTTGTCATGGGGAAGCACTCGTTGTCAAGTGAAGATTCAAAAACCTAAACCCAACACGCCTGGTATTCTGGCCTCAACCTGGTTTTCCGAATCGTCATTGCAGCCATACCTCCAGCCATAATCGTCGTTAACCTCTGGATACAGACAAATAAATCCCTCATCAATCCGACTCCCGCCTGGACAACCTAGATGCTCTGTAGAAGAAATCAGACCCGCACACTAGCTCGCACTTCCCCTCGCCACCCGCTCTGCCCTAATGAGCAGATTCGCGCGGAAATTCTTGTCATCGACCGCGCAGCGATTGCGCAATGCGCAATGCGCGCGACCGCAACGATCCGTACCACATCACAGGAAACTTGCTTAACAACCCCTCATAAAACCGGCAGAGAATTTCAAAATTCAGTATAGCGGAGTTATCTTAGTACGTTACCGGCCAGGGGTCTACTACCACCGAATGAGTGGTTGCCACAAAAGTGAAAAAAAGATGGGCACCCGTTCGTCTTGCAGCAAACCGCGGACCTGCATGCAAGCCAACAACGGAATTACTACACGCTACCCACTGGATTGAAGACCTTTCTTCTTGATGATTACCAATGCTAGTGTCTAGCTAGACAACCTAATTTACCCAGATTGAAGACACAAGCTCCTCAAAGTGATTCTTGATGGTGTCAACATCCATCAGTGCCACTCAATCTCGCTCTCCTGCACGCACAACCTTTTTCCTCGGGGCGGTGTTGCAACAAGCGGACGGTGAAGCAGAACCTAAGGCTTGTAGTTCCCCTCTCGCCGATTGAACATCGTACCGCCCGATGCTTTGGGGCCAACCTCTCCTGGATCCACCGCGCTATTCCGCCCTCCTCTGCAGAGCTTTCCTCGCTGGTTTGGTGCGTCCGGAAAGCCAGTTGTGCAGGGTGTTCAGATATCTACCCGCTTCACCTTCGTTCTACGGGGGTCTTTCTGGCCTTGAAAGGTTTGGATATTCTCTCCTCACGTTTGCCGTCCTCCTCGGCCTTCCTATTTGGTCGTCGAAGCATCTTAGAGGTGGTGTTGTTTTTTCGAGTGCGTTGCGATCGGCGTCGACCGGATGTCATACCGGGTGCACAACCGCCACCCGAGCCCAATTGCTACACCGTCAACGCTATATAGTGCGCGTCGCCTTAAACCTGGACCTTCCTGGGCTAGGGATAAATAGTGGTGAGTGACTTTCAGTGATCCCAGGCCTCGCAAACCAGCACCGCCGCCCCTCGCCCACCGAGCTTTGAGAGTGGGGAGATATTGTGATTTGCTATCTTATGGCGGAGGGACAGGTAGACTCCTTAAAATCCGGTCCCCTTACCAAAGGTGGCCGGTCTCTGAAGCTCTGGACAAAGTGCTTTACTCGATAACGGGGCCGGCAGCAGCATCGTAGCAAAAGCTTTTGCTATAGTTTCTACTTGATGACTATCCCGCGAAAGGGCAACATCATGGCCAACATTTTTCAACATTTACACCCCCCATCAAGATGCATCCTCCCCAACCATCTACATAAATCCACTAGCATCTACCCAACCAGTATTTTTGGAGCCACCCATCCTTCACATAGGCACAGACCTCACCATCCTCGACGACATCCCTACGCACTCACCATCCATCGCCTTCGGCGAGCTTCATTACACCGCTTTTGATAACATGGAAAGCGATGAAGGCCTTCCCGATTTTGAGTGGACTGCGAGACCCACTCAGAATGGGAGGTTCAAGAAGAAGAAGGGCGGATTGTGGACGTTTGTAAAGCGGGCCGGCGCGTGGCTCTGTTGTGGAGAGACGCTACCGGATCTTGATATCCTGAGGACCAAGACCCGCTTTTCGATCTAAGAGCTGTCAGACTGTGTGCTAGTTTTAAGATTTGGGGGTTTGCTCACCCTGGCCGAGGAAGGTTGACTGGTGTTTCTCAGAATGCCTCAAAATTCGGAGATTTATATAGTATACCCAAAAAAATAGACGTGCCTTCAAGTTGAACTCTCGTAACCTCTCAAAGAGGAGTTGTACATTCTTGCATTCGGTTTCATGAAAACAGCCATACCTGTACCAGGTGCCTACCGAACACAACAAGCTCCAATAGACTACTGTAGCGGGCATTGAGGTCGGTAAAAAATCTTGCGGTGACAGGTATTTTTGTAGGATACAATGTCAAAGTGACAGGCAATATGGTGGGGTACACCGTCAAAGTGCACGAGTGACAGGTCAAAGGGATATTGTGCAAGACTTACAGTTTGACAATGATAAGGCTGAGACTGACAATGCAGCTCCGGTTCTTGTTCTGGCGGTCTCTATTTTCAAGGGGGCCGCTAAAACTTCTGGCCTAGCCTCTGCAGTTTTTAGGCAGCCTGTAGGAAAGGAACTTGTCAGGATAGTGACAGTAGTTATTGGGGCAATAAAAGCGCGGTTTTCGGGGCTCCTCAGTGACAGGTGCTTTAGTTTCGAACAAGGCTCCGGCGACACGTTTTTGCTGCCAAAATGACGGTGACAAACAGATCGAAAAACGTCGTACGAATACCCCCGGTGACTAGTGACGTACCAACCCCAATGCTCGCTGCAGTATCCGACATAAATCTCCGGATTGTTGGGGTATCCTGAGAATTACCGCCACTTTTGGGGAATCCTACATAAATGTCGGTCTTTTTTGGTTTTATGGTAGGTCCACCTAAAAAACCAGCGAATAGTGCTGTTCCAGTGTGTGCCGTCCGAATTCCTCACAATGGGGGTTTGTTTTCTCTCAAGCACCTTCTGTATATCCGACCCTGCAAAGCACTAGTAACCAGCATACAGTACTCTAATTTGAAGGTAATCAGTCTGAATGTGGTAGATAGTGGCGGTTGCCGAGGAGGACTTCAGCATCTGTAGCGGGCAATGAGATTGGGACGTCAAGTCAAAAAACAAACATATTTTTGCCGTCGCGCAGACGCCGTCCGTTACTGGTTTGGGTTCTGAGCGCTTCGCCTCCTTCGCATGAGTGATATCTCGGAATGCGCTCACAAAGCGGTGATCAAGGTGCGAGTGACCGGTTGTAGTTCGAGGTACCTTGTGCGGCTGCAGGCACATTGCCGAGACTCCCTACTGCGATGGTGGTTCGATATATGTAGTCTCACTCCTGCCATGCAGATCTTTCATGACAGATAATATCAGATACATGCAGTCCGCCGATTGGAAGTGTCCGAAACAGTCCCACATGCTACAGCAATGTTTGTCTACCGCGCCAGTTCCGACAGCTGCAACCGCACCCAATGAGTTACCATTACTCATGCCTATCGGTGAAACCGCATTGGTCAAAAATCGCACATATGACCGCTGGGGAACTCGGTACAGAGTGGGGCCAGTCTCAGCGATCGGGGTAGGTGAGTGTTGCATGCCATGCCGCCCACCCAATTTCCCCCCATGTTTCTCCATCGTCGCTCGCGCAGCTTATAACCGTCCGCACAGGCCTGCATTTCCACATCCGTTCACAAGCACCACCACCCGCACCACCAGCATCTTCCGTGATGTCCTCAGATAATGATTCGTCGCGCACCACCGAATGCGACCAACCCGAAGACACTCCCGAATGTCTCCCAACTGCGTCAGTTGGCGGTTCTGGCATCACAACCGCCGGTGCCGTACAGGTTGGTAGTCGTGATTCAACCCATCGTCGGTCAGCTAACGATGTCCACTCAAAGTCCTGGACCTTTTGGTACTGTCACAACCCTACCAAGCGCGATACACATTACGCGGGCCCCTGGTGGTTACTCAAAGAATTCAAGACCTGCTTGGAGTGCGGGCACTCGCGGTGTTCTGCGTGTGTTTTGGAACGTTGGAGGCCGGGGGGGGGGGCGAAAGGTTCCAGGGGGGTTGCTTTTTCGAGGGGGGCTGAGGGAGCAAGAACGAGGGCAGTAGGGGAGAAATGAATTTCCTGTTCCCAGAGCAGCCAATGTAATGTGCTTCTACAGTTAATGTAACAACTTCACGGCGCTAAAAATGGTGACATGTTCCCAGTAAGTGGCTGTTGCGGGGTTGCCGGTGGTGCCACAGGATGTTGTGGAGTTCAGCACTGCTAACTATATTCGCCGCCTCTGACGATCGTGATCCCAGCGTATGGTAAAGGGTCAGCACGATATACTCAGTAGTTCCGGGAGCAACACTGCCAGTCACCTGTGATGGGTGGGGATCAGCGGGAGGATCCCTTGGCGGTCTGGGTGAGCGGGGCTGGCGTTCAACCCCGCTTTGCGTGCTCTGTCTCGCCCCCCCCCCCCCCTTTTCTCTCCCGTCGACAGCGAGACGCAACCACGAAGAGAACGTCATTCATCTTTCTCCTTCATCTGATATCTTGGGTGACAAGTTCTCGCCGAGAACTTGTCGTACTGATCTTCTGTGAAGCGCCGGCACCGCGAATAGCAATTTGTAGTTATCTGGTTAATCGAAAGCACCGCTGCCCAGTGGGCTGCAGCACAAACAACCGCCGGGCTATTTGCACAGCCCGCCCGGCGCAGCAGCGGGGACTGGGTACTGAGAACACTGAACACATCGATTGAAATGGCGCCAGCAACCTTGAGACGAGGCCGCATTGCCGCGAAGAATGCCCTCTCCCTCTCTTACTAATACTCCTGCTGCGCCAAATCTGACCGCCGGTTTGGACCCGTCTCCCCTCGCTTCGTTGCGACTATGCAAGAACTACGTTGATCCGACTGTTGCAAGCCTGTCTACGCACCCAGCTGAGCTGCCAAGTTTTTTTTTGTACGTTTAATAAGACGCCGTGGCCTCCTCGTTAATGATGTCGGCAAATCTATAGTTGTCGAGACGCTGACTTTTGATTTCTTCGCGCGAAGAAGCCAAGGAGGTACTGTGTTATGTTTTCAGCTGCGGTGTGGCATAAAAAAAATGTACAAAAAATTAGGCCCAATCCCGGGTTTGAACCGGGGACCTCCCACATCTTCCGCCACTGAGTGGCTTGGGTGCGAACCCGAAGCGAGAATCATACCACTAGACCAATTGGGCTGTTGATGTTTATGCCTCTGATGTGCCTTCATAACAGGAGTAAAGCGGGCGCAGTGCTTTTTTAGCGTACAATGGCTAATAGCCGCTGGTTCATAAGGGCTTTTAAGTGGAGATCACCTGATAAATGCTGGCGTATTCCAAATGTGAACAAGACGAGCACCAGTGCATACTAAATTATAAAATGCGAGAGCTATATAGAGGTACTCGTTACCAAGCTCCCAGGCTCTAGTGGTCTACTTATCCGGCCCACAGCTCTCCCGGTGCCGGAGTCGCTCGGAGAGCTATGGGTAGTAATGGCAGCCTGGGTTTGCCACCGTGGCACAGCTCGAGTTGCGGTTACGGTTCTTTCCCCGACCTGTTCAAAAAGGTCAAGATCGCGAAGAAAGATCACGAGGACATAATGGCATCCGTCAAGTGCCTTGTGCTGCGCCAGAGTCTTACTGCGCGGAGACAATCCCTATGATATTGACCGAATGGGATGGCACTCTCGCTTTGTGTACAGTCGATGTGAGGAGTTTCGAAGGTCAACCAGAAAGCTCGAAAAAGCATGTTTCAACTGGAAACTCTCCCAGTGTTTGGCGGCAAGATACTATGGAAGAGTAACGGTGGTGGGATTGATAGCTACAGTCATAGAATCATGAAAACAACTCAAGGCATCGTGGATCGCCAGCTTACTGAAGGCAATCGAGGACGCCGAAGCGGCCAAGAAAGCCGCCGCTTGCCGTCGCCGCAAGAAGGTGGTGGCTCGTTGCAGAAGCGCTAAACAGGCTCGGGCTGCCCTTGCCGAAAACGGCACCACCGAGCTCAGGGTTCCTGGGAATTTACAAAGACAGACGACCACACTGGTGAGGGAAAGTGCGGCTACGGCGGTTTCTGGGTCTTCAGGGCGGTGATTTTTTTGTTTTAATCGTATTGCATTCGACCGCATACGATCATGGCATATGTAGAGGACAGAGGCTGTGCTACCCCCAAGGGACTAAGCCTACTATTGGAGCCTGCGGCTCTCTCAAGGAAAGAAAATCAAGGAAATCGCAACTCGTATACAGAAAGGTCTATGGAATACCAGCATATCTAGAAGCGGCGATACTGCAGCCACCGGCGCCGATTGTGATTCTTCCACTGGCAATAGCACCTCAGGCCCCCCCCCCTCTCCAGTCCCAGAGCCTAGGGACCAAGCCAGTACTGAGCAGCTTGAGATTCTACCTGGCGGACAACAAAGCTTAAATTCATTATCTAAACCAGTTTCAAGTTCAGTCGCCAAATTTGAAATTGATCTTCGGAAGGAAGGCCAAAAGGACGACAATGAGAGGGCTGTTCGAGGCCTACCGGCAGTCTATCGAGGATCCGTGCGACGAAATGGCAGGGATTGGGCAATAGAAGCGTGGTTTTAGAGGTTCCGGTGACAGGTTCTTGCTGAAGAAACATCGCCAAAATGACGGTGACCAACAGGTCGAAAAACGTCGTAAGAACCCCCGGTGACCGGTGACGTACCAACCTCAATGCTCGCTAGAGTAATCTGTAAACTCCCCTCCTGATTGAGCGAGTGAGAATATATGAAGCGGTTGGCTTCGCCGAGCAGCATTAAGAGCTTTTTTGCTGCCTTCGCTCTCGCTAGCTTCTCGCTGGTCTCCTCAGTCTCTGTTACTGACCGTTATGACCGGTCGGGAAGCCAATAGAGGCCCAATACACAAACCGGCTTCCCGTGCTGGTTTATAGGCGGTCAATAGAACACCTAAAGCAATCGAGGCGGCGATTGGCCCTCCGAGTTTCTATTGGTTTATGGGACGTTGATCGAAACTTTCTATGATAGAAGGTGGGAGGGGTCACCCCTTTCCATCATGAGGAAATAGAAGCACCCATCAAGAGAACCAAAATACTCGAATAGGACAACGGGAAGTATTCCACTAGCTACTTTATGAATTCACGCAGCCTCACGGCTATGGCCATGCCGAGTAGATACAAGGCATGAATACTTGAACGACACATAAAACAAATTTAAAGGTGACGCAGAAAACAGGCAAGCAAATTGCAAGCCAACAAAGAATATAGGTTTCTTCCTCGAGAAAATGGTTGCCATGAAGCCGTCAGCGTCCAGGCGCGCACGCTCCTACCTACTACGTTCCACTAGCTAAGGATATAAAGCGGAATATTAACGACCGGAGTGAGAATGGTGGGCTACCATCTGCAAGTCCGAGTGACAAAGTATTCCCTTTCTCTCGCCCTCGATTCCTTCTGCCCAATGCCCGCGGCCGCGGGATCTATCCAAGACTCGAAGCTGAGTCAGAATCAGGCTCCAGCAGGAGGCCGGGGTCCCTGTACTAAAACGCTTGAACCTCGAACATCGAACACTCTTTAATAGTTAAGCTCAACCTGACCTCCTGCATCCGGGAGCACGGGGATCCCCATACTGTGAATCCGGGCCGAATGTCTGGCAGAACGACCGCAGCTTGGGGCCTCGGTGGGTGGCTGTTGTCTGCAAAATTACACGCACTCCCGGTCTTGTTCAATGCGCGCTCTTTCAAGTTATGCTCCCGGGCAGCAGCAATATCGTCCGGCGGTTCGATCGTACAAGGGCCTGCGTCCAGTTGATCTTTGAAATCTAACACCGCAAAAGACCATTATTACCCCTCAAATGATATTGCTCTGAGCAGCGTTCGTTTGTTGGCAATTTGCAGCAGTCCCGCGCAGCCATGCCGGCCCGATATATTGATATGATAGCTTCTCGTGCGGAGGCAGAGCAACTCCCTCAACTTCAGCAGTTAATGTCAATCGCCGCCCGCGGAGAAGCCACGTTGCAAGCATGTGCATTTTGTCCTCGCCGTTGGGCCTGCACGTACCCGTCGCGATTAGCTTATACAACGCCGCCGGACGTCCGGGCTGAACTTTACCAACAGGCAAACACCTAAACCCAGCAGCCAACCTCTTTCCCCACAAACCCCCCAAAGCCCTCTCCCTCTCTCTCGCCAACCTCTTCCCCTACAAACCCCCCATCGCCCTCTCCCTCTCTCTCGCCAACCTCATCCCCCACCGCTAAACGTCCCCCATCACCAGCAGCGAAAATGTCCGGCAAACGTCCTCCCTCCTCCCGGCCGGCCAGCAACCGCATCCCCGCTGCTGCTGCTTCGGGTTCGCCAACGCTCCTCTACAAGAGCGCGGCCGTGCTCTCCGCGGCCATCGGAGTTGATCAAGCCATGCTGCTCGACATTCGCGGCAGGATCAACAACCAGTGCGCCGCGATGGGCACGCCGCTCAACCAGCCATACAGCTCGTACCCGCCGGATGCGATGTTGCGGCTGGCGCGCGATATCACGTTGTGGTGGAATGCGCATTACGGCAAGGAGGAGCTGTACTTGTCGATGGTCAACGTCGACGCGATTGTGCACCGGTTGTGTTTGGCGAACGTGAGATCTTCGAAGAGGAGGGGGGAGAGGAGAATGAAGAGAAGGAGGATGGAGACGGGACGTAATGAGGTAGGTTTGCTGCTCTGGATGTGTTGGAGGTGGTGCTGATTGGGAAGGTGAACGACGACGACGGAGGTTATCAGGAGGATGACGAGCATGAGTACTATGACCATGAGGATGAAGAGTACGAGTCTCCAGACGAGGAAGATGATTCCGAGTACCAGGAAGACGAAATCGACATTCCTGAACATCATGATGCCGCAGTCGACGCCGAGGATGCCGAATCCAACGGCGCCGGTCAGATCGCTGCCACCGTCGAAGGCCAGATCGCTCCAGCCCCAGCCGGTCCTCTGGATCCTCCAAGCGCCGCAATCCCTCTGTTGCAGCCCGAGGCCATCAGCAACCGCGCTCCACCGCAGCTTGCAATGGAACTGGACGCTGCTCCCACGGCTGCGCCATCCTCCGGGATGGCTCTCAACGCCTCGATGGGTATCCAGGTTCCCTCTCCAGTCGCTGTCAGCCCTCTGGGTCCTCCTCCGAGCGCCGCAATCCCTCAGCCGCAGCTCGAGCCCATCAGCAACCGCGCTCCGCCGCAGCTTGCAATGGAACTGGACGCTGCTCTCACGGCTGCGCCATCCTCCGGGATGGCTCTCAACGCCTCGATGGGTATCCAGGTTCCCTCTCCAGCCGCAGCTGGTCCTCCGGATCATCCAAGCGCCGCAATCCCTCCGCCGCAGCTCGAGGCGATCAGCAACCGCGCTCCGCCGCAGCCTGCTATGGAACTGGACGCTGCTCCCACCGCTTCTTCATCCGTTAGGATGGCCCTCAACGACTCGGTAGGCGTCCGAGTTCCCTGTCCAACCTTAGAAACTCCCACCCCAGCAGTTCACGCAGAGCTTACCCTCCACCTGCCGGAGCTTCAAGTTACGCTCACCTTGCCGCGTAATACTACCCTCCCCTACCTCGTCTCTCGCCTGGCGGAATACTTCCACCATCCCACCCGCGGGTACACCCTTAGCACGCTCCTGCTGCGCCCTGCTCCACGGATGATCACGCTCACCGCCTCCGCCGCGTGGGCCGCTCTGGTCGGCGATCTTCGCACCACCGAGCTCAACTTGATTCGGTCTGTCTGGCCGTTTCCTGCTGACAATGCTATCCTTCCTGAACCAATATCAGCATATGTTAGCCCAGAGGAGATCAGCATCGCCATTCCGCGTAGCGCAAGCCTGGCCTGGGTTGTCGCGCGCGTGGCGCAGTGGTTTTGGACCAAGGGCGAGGGGTATACGTTGCGCGTCCTCCTGCCGGAGAAGGAGTGGAGGATGGTAGAACTGAGGAGTGAGGACGATTGGAAGAGCGTTTGCGAGGATGTGGAAGTGAGGGTGGTGGTTTTTTCGCAGACGTAGCGGTGGGTTTTCGCACAGGTAGAGGGTCACGTTTCCGAAAGCCTGGGTAGTTCGTGAGGTGAGTCGAGATAGTTCAATGGCTTGCGTGACCCCTGGGCGAGGCTTTTAGGGCTTGTTTTCTTCACAATTTGTCGGGGGGTTTTTTTTTTCTGGTCCTGCTCTTTCATTGCGATTTGTCGTGGCCGTCCGTTAGTCG